GATTCGGGATCCTAGTACGCTTTTCATACATTGATTTCTTCAAACTTTTGCATTCAAACATCACTTTTGCATTTGATTCATAATTTTAGTTTAATTTATAGATTAGTCATAGTTTCATCATAAAGTCACAAAAATAATCATATTGAGTTTAATATATTCGGTTAAGGTCGCAATAATAGAACTCAAGTTAAATCAATCCTCGTGGGAACGATACTCGAAATTTTAGGATTTCCACTTTATTACTTGTCAATGAATCGTACACTTGCGGTGATTTTATTCGAAACATATTTTCGTGAACAACAGATATTGAAATAAACTAAAACGTGCAGAGAGATGGAGGCTGCCCGAAAATCATTTCATTACAGAAGTTACAGAAACTGATATGGAAGAGCTCTGTTACCCTACCCATTTGAAATGAATGCTCAAATTTGAACTAGATTCGATTGCTTACATTGTGTATATGTATCCAAGATGTTACTTTGGTTGACATTGTCATGTAGATTGTTCTGCAGAATTCATTGTATGTACTATGTACACAGTTGCAGCAAATTTTTGATTAGCTGTAAACTCACTCAGTTTCACCTCTAGATATGAAAAGTGAAATAAAATTGTAAACATATGGCAGATGCCAGATTTTATTATTATTATTTTTTTTTTTTAATTTTTTCATTTTTTTGGTGTAATGTTCGTTTTATTGCATTGGTGCTTTAGTGTCTCTTGTTTACCTACCAAGATCGATGTAAATTCTAGTATTCTAAAAGGCGTAAAGCGTGGCGAAGCGGGGAGGCCAATCTTCAGCCTAGGTGAGCATAGGCTGTTAGTTTAAATTCTTAAATCAATTTAAAAATTATTTAATAATTAAAGAAAAAATCGTTACAAAGCGTAAAAGAACACCTAGGTGCGGGGAAAAAAAAAAGCGCCAAGTGAGGCGTTTTGAGGGTGCGAACCTAGAACACTGGTAAATTCTAGCTTTCTTATCCTGCTATTTCTGCCTAAAGAAATAGAGCAAGGGGCTTACCTTTTTGCTATGAGAATGTAGAAAGCTAAACCAACCCAAATATTGGGTAAGATGAAATATGCAAAAAGAACATGCACAATCAAGAACCTGAGAGATTGCACCATTTTCCAGCTGAGTTTGGTGCAAACCATGTAACAACCTCAGAACAAAAATTGAAAAAAAAAAAAAAAAGAAGCAGATTAACAAAATTTAACAATATCCCAAACACTGTAAGCTCAAGTAAACAAGGTTTAACGAAGTGAAAAAAAGAAAAAAAAAATGTAAATCATTGATTTTTTTTTTTTTTAACATTACAAAATGAGTGAGAATCCATACTATGTGCGGAAAGTCTCATTATATAAGATTATGCCACTCCTGAGTTGGATACATTATTTGTTCTAGGTCTTCGAGGACTCATGCATGATGGTACTCGGTTCTCTCGACTAATTTGAGCACTTGGATGTAACGGTGATGATCTTGGTGATGAATAATCTCTTGAGTAGTACGCAGGTAACCATTTTGGCGATGAACGCGTTCTGGACACACGCCCTGGTGAGGAAGCAGGAGAGGGACCAGGATTCGTTTTCTTTATTCTTGATGGTGAAGATGTAGGGGAGTTACTATTCAATGTCTCTGCATCAATTCAGCATATTCAAATTATTGATATTGTGGAATTCTTGAAATATTTAACACGAGGTTTAAGAAACAAAACTAACCCGGAGAATTTTTAGTCTTTACATCTTTCCTATTCTTGACAACCAAATCTTTCTTCTCTGAGTTTGTAGTATTGCTCGACTTGCCAATGTGTTTTGTTTCTGACCCGCTTTTCTTTTCAGAAATCTTAGAAGAACCTGAAACTGTCTTCGGAATGGATTCTGGCTTCAGTATTTTCTTTTCCGGAATCTCAACTAATTTTACTGTTGACAGTGATGATATTTTCCCTCCTGAACCATCGGAATAAACTGATTTTTGCTCGACTGTCGGCCTTGGTGATAAAAGTTTTTTCTCTACAATCTCGGCACTTACTAACTTCTGCTCACTGGCTTTGATTAGTGAAAGTACAGGTTCTGGAGTACTGCAATTCGCTGCTTTAATCTCTGCATCTTTTGATGCCTTATCTGGAACCTCGACTTTTAGCTTCGTACTAACCACCTTCTGCAGAAATTTGTTCTCGGGACTCTGAGCATGAGACGAGCTTTGATCAGCTCTGAGTATGAATGAAGGTTTCCTATCTAGAGTTTCAGCACCAACTGACCTTTGATCGGCTGAGGGTCCCATATATTTTCTCCCCGGACTTTCAGAGCCAAATGACCTTTGGTCGAATGAGAAAAACTGGCGATGAGGTATCTCTGAGATGACCGACCTCTGATCAACCACTAATGTTGAATATTTCCTCTCAATGATTTCAGAACAAACTGACCTTCGATCACTTGGTGCAAGGAAAAAATCATCCATGACACCAAAATGCTCTTCGTCAAACATTGATGCTGCACGGTGAACTACAGATCCATCACTTGTCAAATCCCAATTCTTTCCGGAGATTTTTTCTTTCTCGATAAGCTTATAACCGAACATTTGGAAAGGAATTTGAGACACCAGTGCCAAATCCTCGCCCCTATCCCCAGTCAATTTCTTCAAATAGCCAGCCTCCATGTCACAATAATCAACAAGTGGTGGAGCAGAATCTGGCTGGCCATGGTCAGGATTTATAACAAGGGTCTTCTTGATATAGCGTAATATCCTACACAATGATGAGAAAGTCGGGCGAAGATTCGGGTTCATTTGCCAGCATTTTTTAGTCAAATTTGAAAGGTATTTTGGTGAAGGATATGGGAAAAGTGGCCTCTCCCCGGCTCTAATATTTCGAGCCATCTTTTCTCCTTGAAGGCGTCCATCTCCAAACGGGACTTTCCCGGTTAGAAGTTCAAAGCAAAGCATCCCAAAACTGTAAACATCAGCTTTTTCTGAATACTTCGTAGTGCATTTACCCCCGGGCTGCTCTTGTTCGGCCAGCACTTCTGGGGCTAACCAAATATCTGGATCGATTCCTGTTGGTTTTGGGCTCCGTGCAGAATAACTCTTGATCGAGGTCAAACCAAAACCAGTGATTTTTGCTTGAAAATAATTCTCTATGGAACCATTTCTTGCTTTGAGAAGGATATTGGAAGGATTCAAATCTCCATGATAGATCTTTCTAGAATGTAGATATTCCATGCCTCTTGCAATCTGAAGCATTATATCAACTGAAACCGGCGTTGAGAATGGGAGTCTCTTTCTTTGGCCATAATTCTCTTTTATGTAAGTGTTTAGATCCTTATTCATAAGCTCCATTACAAGCAAACCCTCTTTCCTTTCTTCGTCGAAAAAGGCACAATGGTTTTGCAACACATTCGGGTGGGAAAGTGAAAGGATTAAAGAAATCTCGGGATTTAGTAGTTCAATCTCCCCATAGAACGTCCTCAAAGCAAAACTTTCCCCCAACCATTGGATCTCCTTAAAATGCCCTGCACTTCCAGCTGAGTCTAAACGCCGCTTCACGTAATAATCAGCTGCAGCAACTAAGACATTGTTCGGCAAAAGCTTTGTCTTGGATTGTTCTGCATCACTTAGTTTCTTAATCAAAAACTCTCCAAGCCTCTGCTCGTGCTTTGTTGACGAACTTTTTTTCTCTTTAATCTTTTCGAGAAGTAACCACCCATCTTCCTTCCAAGCTGTATCCAAACGGCTGCATATTTCTCGAGGGACTAAATACTGTTTCCCGAACTTCCACTGGAAAATTTTTGGTTCATTCCATTCTTCATCGTACTTTTTCATCAGGGCAAGTCGTCTCTTCTGCATTTCTTCCTGATCCACCCCCGAGATTTCTGCAGCAGTCTCGATGGCCTCAATTACAACAGGAAAACAACATAATAAATTATGAATGTGGAATTCAACACAATCCCTATTGAGATGTAGACTAATCACTTTACCCCACCAATCCTTAACATCCACACAGTATCTTATATAAAGATCGGCTTCCTTAAATATCCGGTAAAGCTCTTTCATTGGAAGCTCTAGAGCCTTCCATTTCGTATTCCTTTCTTCAAACCTCAAATGCTGTCTGATTTCTTCCGAAATCGTATCAAACGCCAAAACTAACATATCATAAAGCAAACAGCATTGCCTCTGGTTAATTGGAATGTCGTGTTTCAATACCATTACAGCCTTCAAACTTCCTAAAACCTCCCCAATCTGCCTGAATTGATCCATCCCGGGTTTCAATGCAATGTATTTATACAATTGGCAATGCAGAATCCTCACACAACTGACTGTGTTAAATGTTGATGATGCTACAGAGCAATAAAATTCTGAGAGAACAAAAATTAACATAATAACAAATTCATGATAAGATTAAAATTCTGCATCAGGCAAGGTACATACATGCACATTCATGAACCCAATATGATTTAATTAATAAATTCTTTGAATAATTCAAGGAAAAAGTGGGATAACAGAATAAGAACATACCTCCAAGAAAATTTTAAATCTAGAGGGAATTCAATAGGTCACCAACAGGCAAATTCTGCAAAAGGGGTACTGAATTTTCAAGGGTTTCTATGAACCCATGAAAATTCAGTAAAAACCAATTTGAATCACCCAAGAAATAGTCTTTCTGGATTCAGAAAACCAAAGGAAAAAAAACCCAAGAAAATGGTTTTGAATATAAACCAAGAAACTGATGCCTGTCTGATTATCCGGAAATTCTATCAATCAAAATCTGAATAGAAATTAACGGGTTTGACAATTTTAACAAAGATTTTATCTTTTTGTTTCTTTTCCACCTGAAGAAATATGGGTTTTTTGGAATTCCAAGTCTTAGCCGTTGGAATATCCGTGTCTTTTGGGCTGCTTTTTATAAATATGTTCCCGCGAATTCCGAGCTCTTCTATTTTTCTTTTTCTTGCCTACTTTGTCGGAAATGAAGGTGTTCTTTTTCCCAGTCAAGGTCTAAGTTTGAAAAGTCAAAATGGAGAAAAGAAAAATTTGAACGTCCTCCATTTTCAAGCAATCAGCTTGACACGACAAAGTAAACATCTGTCCCAGTGGCGCCCACTCTCTTTCACCATCAGCGCAAAAGAGGCTATCATGGTTTTCATTACCATGTATAAGACTTGGATCATAAGAAGAAAGTACGAGATTTCTGTACGTGATTAATATAGGCCTCCAACTATTTTTATTTTTTTAAAGGAAAATCTTCAAGTCATCTTTAATGTGCACTCTTATACATCAAATATTATCTTTCACTTGATCGAGATACAATTTCACACATATATCATGATGGAAATCAAGTTGCTAAATCACTTGCCACTTTTGGTTGGGAGCAATGCCATTACAAGGAGTATGGTCCCTGGACCTTTCACGTCGATTAAGCACTCTAATGCAGATAACAATTATGGTAGCCCTAGCGTTATAAGTTTCTAGTCTACTTTTGTTATTCTTCTTTTGTATGGGAGGTAGTAACTCATCATTTACTGTTTTCTCCAACTAAACTTTTGAGGTATAACTTTCCCAAAATTTATAATAATCGTATCAGAGCAGGCACTACGTCTCGCAAATGTAATCGAGCATGGATGGTGATGTGGCAATCCAATGAAATCGCAGGAATCACGAAGTATTGTAGTTTGTCAGGTTCTCATTACGAGGCATGAGAATTGGATCTCAAATTGAGATTATGGAATTTGGTGTATAATTTATATAGATTTGAAGTTTTGAACTCTCCAACTTAAATAACTTACTTTTGAGGTACGACTCTCTTAAGGTCTATAACAAAGGCCTGTCAATTTTGTGGCCTAACCAACCATATTGCTATGGATTTTTACCATAGGATTAACCTCTCATATCAACCAAATTCTCAAGGTCCAAGGTCTTTCAATCTGGTAGCCCAACCATCTTCATTTTCTTAGGCAGAGTATTATGCAACTCCAGGGACAGTTGCTGGTAACACGTGGTAGGATATTTAGAATAACTCTTAATCTTAACCCAACTGTCCTTGAGTGCAAGAAAGAGCTTTTGGTATTCGTGCTCTTTTACTGGTACTGATCAGGCCATGGCTGGAAATGGCAAGAAATTACCTACATCTCATTTTGGAAAGCGCTACCCTCCAATCATGCTCGCTTGTTTTTTAAATTTTTTATTGTAAGTTTTATATTGCACGTGAAATTTTCACTAATCTGCTTAGTGTCACAAGATTGTGTGTCAGTAATAGAGCTTATGTCGAATTTTACCCTAACTTTTTCCTTGTGAAAGATCAGGTTTCAAAGAAAATTCTACTTCAAGTCAACTTGAATAAGGCCTTCCCTAAGTCCATCAGCTATTCTCTTCAGTTGATTCGCATGCTTCCTCACCTTCATCAAGTACTGCTTTTGCTCAATCCTGCATCTATCCCTTCACATTCCAGCCCATTATTTCCCTGATCTTCTACTTCTACACCTACAACTTTTTCTGCTCCATTTACACATCCTCCAACGGAGCCACTACTCAGTTCACTATCTTCTAATTATTATTCTCCATCTGATTCTACACCATAACCTTCTCATTCATCAGTTCAATTAGTTGATGACCTGAGGTTTCTCTTACCCTTGCTGCTAATGCTCATAAGAAACCTTCTACATTTAAGCAGGCCATAGATTGAGCATGCAGCTCTTGTTAAGAAATCCACTTGGAAACTGATTCCCAAACCTTCAAGCCAGTCATAGGCTGCAAGTGGTAGATAAAGTTAAACTGAAGCACGATGTCACAATTGAAAGGTATAAAGCTCGCTGTGTAGCTTAGGGATATGATCAAATACATGGTAGGGATTACTTTTGAGACTTTCAGTACAACTTTGGAATCTATTGCAATTAGGATTGTGCTCTCTTTAGCTATTTCAAATGGTTGGCCCATTCAACAATTGTATGTTCATAATTCTTCCTTGAATGGGGACCTTCAAGAGGTTGTCTTTATGGATCAAACTCCAGGGTTTGTGGACACTCATCAGCCTGGTTTTCTGTGTAAGTTAAACAAAGCAATTTATGACTTTAAAACAAATTACGGACTTAGTGCTACTCTTTTTCAATGGGGCTTTGTGTCTTCTAAAGTTGATCCATCTCTATTATCTTCCATTCTTCCTCTGCTATAATAATGGTGCTTTGGATGACATAGTCATCACAGGTAGTAACTTTTCTCAGATTTCAACCTCATCTACTTCCTTGTATTCTGAGTTTGCTTTGAAGGATTTCGGCCAAATCCATTACTTTTTAGCCATGTTCTAAAATGCACGCAAATGCGCCGCCTAGGCGCAACGCGCGGAGAAAACACATCGAATTCGGGGTATGCGCGGAAAATTCGTTTTTGTTCTAAAAGGCGGCGCTCAGGCCTAATCCCGCTTAGGCGCGCCTAATCCCGTCTAGGCGACGCATTATGCCCCCTAATATATTTATTTATTTATTTATTTTGGTAAAAAATCTATTTTTTTATATAAAAATATATTTAATGCCTTAAAAATACGAAACGCATTATGACGCTTATTCTTCGTATTGAAATGCCTAAACTTGTGATTCTTGATTCTCGGTCTCGACGCATCGCAACGCATTACGCATTTTAGAACATTGCTTTTTAGGTATTAAAGAACATAGAACTAATTCTTCTCTTCATCTCTATCAGTCCAAATATATTTGGGATATTTTGGTTAAAGCTGATATGTTAGAATGCAAGTCTTCTAAAACCCCATGACATACAGTAATATCCTTTCTATTCGATATGGCACTCCATTATGTGACCAGTGTTGTGTGACAATTGCAAGTATATGATGTCAATCAAAAGGGTAGTAGATAGAACCTAAAGAGTCTGGATAATCGTTTCTTTATCTCAATATCAATCTAAGCTTCTGTTTGAGCCGTATTGTTTTTTTCATTCTCATTCTTCTACTCCTTTTTAATCACAAATTTTTCAATAAAAATAATATTTTCCATCACATCAATAATTTTTCCTTCTTTTTCAATCACATATTTTTCATCACATCAACAGTAAAAATGCATTTTTTTTCCCAAAAATGTGCACCAAATGCGGGCTAAATAACAATATCTCTTATTTGATGAAAGGATTTTGATGAAAACAAAATATGAAGCGTAGTTTTAGGCCCCGTTCGGGAGGGATTAAAAGCCAATTAAAATTGAAAATATGGCCGTTATTGGGTCCCACTCATCTAATAAAAGTCAACAATAGTGACTATATTTTCAATTTTAATCTGATTTTAATCCCTCCCAAGGCCTTAGATTATAACTCAAATTAACTAAGAAAAATAAAAGCACTTAACCGCATGTTTGATCGCCATTTTTTGCCCAAAGAATTAATTTTTTTACCGTTGAAATGGTCCCACTCTCTGCCAAAAAAAAGGGCGCCCACAACATTTGACTATTTTCATGTGATTTGATTTTGTCAATTACTTGTGTGAGTATAAAAACATAGAGGGACAACTACGTCATTTTACACGCCAATTAATTCACTGACAACTGTTAATGACAGTGAAATTTTTATTATAATGGGGACAAGAATGCCTCCCAAACAGGGCTAAACAATCAAATATGATGGTTAAAGAGTTGTGATCCACGATGTCATTGTATTTGTCACATTTATCTTGCCTCTGAAGTTCAATTCTCAAAATTGTACTTGGTCGAATTCACTAATAAAATCGATTTACTTCTTTTGAATTCAGATATATCATGTGTATTTGAGTCTACTTACTATGCCTCTGTTTGGGCTCCATTAAAATTAATTTTTTTTTTTTTTGGAGAAATTGTGTTTTGAAATAACAATTTTTTAGAGAATGCGTGATTAAAAAATAAGGAAAAGTTCTGAATTTACATAAAACATTATTTTATTGAAAATGAATTTTGAAAAAAAATGATTTTTTTGAAAATGGAGCCCAATCAATATCTTTGAAAAATTATAGAATTATCATTTTGCCATTTTTAAAATTGTTCAAATTAAAGCCACAAGTTTGACTTTTGGTCAACCAACGATTTTTTTGGACGAAAATTGTCCTGAGGTCCTTATCACAATTTTGAAAGGTTTGTGAACTATCTACTACAACTTAAAAATTTAAGGGCTTGTTTGGTAACACTAAAAATTCAATTAAAATTGAAAATATAACTGTTATTGGGTCTCACCTGTCTAATAAAAGTTAACAATAACGACTAATTTTTCAATTTTAATTCGATTTTAATCTCTAC